CCTATTTAATTAAGGAATTAATATTTGAAAAAAACTGTATAAACATCAAGTGTCACAGGTTTAAAAAAATGTATTTGAACGTGAATGGATGAATAAAAAGTATTTCATTAACGATTGAAAATTTGAACAAGATATAGGAAGAGAATGTGAACTAGTAGTAGGAATAGAAAAAAATATGTATAATAAAATATACTTTTTATTTAAAAAATTTTATACAAACTGCTTGGTGGGATGATTTTTACAATTTATTAGAGTATTTACAGAACTATAGTAATTTTTCTTAATAATATTAAAATTAAAAATGAAAGTTTAGTGTTTTCTATTCGAACAATTAAATAAGCTTTAAGAAAGAGGATGAAATAAAATTTATCTTTCTTAGAACTGCCAAACTTTCACGCAACATGGGGTCAGAAAGCAAAAGGGCAAACTCCCAGGGGACGCTTGTTTGGCGAAAACACAGTTAACCCTTTGCGGTCGTATTAAGTGTACACTTGGTTGTCATGCTGGTCGGAATTAATTTACTTTAACACAATTTATAAAATATTATTTCGAATTCTACGTATCTTTGAAGCTTGTCGACTTAATATAAGATCAGTATGGTTCTTGTGGCTCAGAGCAGACATACGACTGGAACAGTAAAAGAGCGTTGGTGGCAGAGAGTAGACAGACGACCTCAATAAGGGATAATAGTGGGTTTTAAAACTACTACCACTATTCTAAAGCAAGCTTGTGTGCAAATGCTCTTAAAACATTCATAATTTTGTACTTATATTTCAACTTTGTTTTGATTACTCAATTCAGCATTAAAAAAAATACAGAGAAAGCAACTTGCTTATCTGCGTAAATATAGGTATGAGTACAAAGATGTATTTTTTTACACATAAGAGATTGACTACAGCTAAACTATTAGTCTTATTGACTGGAGTTTGATCTCATGCGATGCAGTGTAAAATAGGAAAAATACCTCACTTGTCAAGATAGCAGTATTTTATACAATACTAAGTCTCTCTCATTTACAATTGTTCTTTATAATGCTCAGTTTTCATAATTAAATTTCACATTAAAAATATGTTCACAATTAACATTCAATAAAAAATAATTAACTTTCATAGTAAACTTAGTTTTCATAGTTAACTTTCACATAAAAAAACTTTCACATTAAAAGAAATACACAAGAGCGATGTAAATAAACAATAATTCTAACTTTAAGTTTGTTAGCAATACAAAGAGACAGCACAAAAATGATATAATTTCATTTCTGAACTGAACTTCTTTTGATTATACAATTTATTGATTTAAAACATTTATTTTAAACAATTTATTCAAAATAAAATTGGAAAAAAAAAGTATTTGTGATCAATTTGCTTTTTTATTTTTAATAATTATTTTTAATAAATATAGTTAATAATAAGTACTTGAAAAAAATGTATTGTTACTGAATTTTAATTAATCTATAAATAAATAACATATTGTAATGATATATAATTCTTTCTTGAATTTACTATTTTCATTATAATTTGCTTTTCAAATCTATCACAAGCTCAGAAAAGTATGTCAAAATAATAAACATTTACAGAAATCACTCATTTTCATGTTTTTTATACCCCCTTCCCCCCTGTATTAGGAACTCAGATGAATATGAAGAAAATCTTGAGTGGTTGATACTTCAGTATTTGGCGCAAACACATGAAAAGCTACATGCAACTTACAAATATGAGTGACAAGTGTTCAAAATAGACGTGTTTGATACTTACGTAAACATTTAAAAAGCAAAACATATATGCTTAGTTTTCACATTTACTGTCATTACAAAACTGTAAAAAATAATAGCAATAAATAGGGAGTGAAATAATGTAACAAAAAATACTATGATAAATGTTTAAATATTTTTAACATTTCTCTGCATTAACTGAAAATAAAATACAACAATGCATCAAAAATATTTTTATTCAGACCGAATAAACATTCAAGATAATATTTCAGAAATATTTTTGAATTCATAATGAATTTTTATGAAATTTAAGTAGTAAAACTTAAAATAAATACTTTTATAATCTACAATAGCATTTCTTAAAATGAGCTTGGTGAATCAATATTTGGTGAGTCGATAAAAGCCATATTTACGTGCATACTTCATAATTGAAATACAACATTTAAAATATTATGGGAAATACTAAAGTAGAGCAAATTAAAACACATTACTTCAATCTTCTCTAGAAAGCTTATTTCTGTGTACTTAACTAATTTTATCATAAATTAACACAAACATTAATAAATTCTTTATATTAAAGAAATAATCTATTAAAGACTTTAAGAACAAGACTTCAAATAATCTATTAAAGAAGAATAATTTTATACCTTTTTCTCTGGCAGTTAAAGAGATAATACTTAGTAATAATTTATTTCCATTAAAAAATTTTAACATTATCATTTTTTTAAAAAAAAGAAATAACATAAATTATTGAGTAATTCTAGTTTGTAAGTTTGTAGAGTAATTCTAAATTATCGACTTCAGTTTTCTCTAGCAGATAAAAGCATATTAATTTGTTTATAATAAAAAATAATAGGGTTAGGTTTTTTAAAAAAATTTTGAAATAGGTGTTTCTTTTTTATGACAGAAATAATTCCATAAACCATATTATTTTCGCAAACTTAAAAGCAAAAAAAAAAAAACCTTAATTTTGTACATTTTTAGTTCAAATGCTCTTATAAATTAAAAGTTTTTCTGTAAAAATAAATGCTTAAACTCATATTTTTTAAACTATTTTTACTTAAAAATTATTTTATAACATTAATCCCTTCATAGCAGAGTTGGCAAGGTTTAGGACAGAATGGTTTAATCTAGTCCAAAACCTTTTTATTCAAATTATGACACATTAAAAAAAAATAATTGTGAAAAATAAATGATTAATTTTTGAACAAGAAACAAAATGAAGACAAGTTTTTGTTTTATTAAAAACGTTCCTATTATTTTAAAAATTGCATTATTTATCCTTATGCAAAAACTTTATCAGAATTAAAAGCACATTTAAAGGATTAGGTATTCACTTTTGTCATTTAATGAATTGCGCAGTTTCAAAAGTTATTAATCTTTTCCTATTACATTATATAATTTTCCTTTAATAAATTAAATTGTATAAAAAANTAATTAAAATATTATATATTAAAATTAATATATGTCATTAAAAATTATCTAAAATAATTTTTAATGCAACGTCCAATTTTTAATGCAATTTTTAATGCAACGTAACAATCAACGTCCTCCCCCCCCTGCGGGCCGTGGTAAAATTATCAAACGTTGACAGGTCCGCGGTGATAAAAAGGTTGGGGAACACTGCATTAAACAAATAATTACTGAAAAACAATTCTTAAAAAAGTTATATTTATAAAGTAAGTCAACTGTCTATGGATATGCAAATTTCTATGGATATGCATATAAATAATTATTATACACGCAACATAAAAATTATAATGCTATACAAAAATATATATTATACAAGAATTATTTTATGTCATAGAGCAGTTTTGTAACTCTAAAACAGCGGTTCCAAAATGATGTTCTGTGGAACACCATTTTTTTAAGGGGGAAAAAAACAACAAATATTTTAACTTTGGTCAGCATTTCAAAACACTGGGGTAAAGTGAAAACTGAAGCAAATTTAAACACAACAATAGTACAACTTTTGTGCTCATAGACCCTCATTTTTTGTATATTTTTTATATTTTAGAATACTTGTGTAATTTTAGAATACTATTTTAGAATACTTGTGTCATTGTTGATTATGTCATTACTTGATCATTTCGCAAGAATTAAAAAAATAATGTTTTCATGAAAAGGCATTTTATTTTAATATAAAGTATTTACTGCAAGATTTTAATGCAAAAAACAAATGGAAAAGCAATATTAATTGACGAAAATTAGTCTACTGATCTTTTCTTAAGACTGATTTCAGTCCCCTTTCTCCAGGACTGAAGATTGGCACCCTTGTAGGCGAGTTAGGACTTTTTATTTATTTCAAAGTTTGTAGACCCGTCATTCAATTTATATCTAATCAAAAACTTTTAATCAATAACTTTTAATCAATAATCATTTATTTAATATCCTTTCGGTTATTTTTAAGAAAATATTTAAAGTAAAATGCCAGTAAGAACAACAACAAGAAAATGCATTTAAAAAAAAAAACAGGTGTTTATTTTCTAATAACAATAAATAGAATAAATTAAGAGCAGGATATGCATTTATAAAGAAATTGCATCACTTTTCACCATTGAATTTTACAAGTTTAAATTTTCCTTTCGTCAAACTTTTCAATTAAAATTTTCATGTTAACTATTCTTAATGTTTAGAACACTATTCAACTTTATTTTCATCAACTGCATACACCAAAAACAAATTCAGAACCAGACAAGAACCAGTTCAACTGTCTGACATGAAATCTAATTTTAAAAGTATTTTGGAAAACACTAAAAAAAATTTAACATTTTAAAATATTTATTAATATGTTAACAATGGGTCATGAACTTAATTTATGAAGTTGGAGTTTTGCTAAAAGAAGGGCAATCATTTGCTGTTTCAGAGGGGGTAAAAAAAATTGGAAACCTCTGCGTTATTGGAAGCCATAGGATATTTTTTAGCTCTTTTCCTTTCTAGAATGGTTTAAAGCGTGAAAAATCTCCAGAACAGAATCAATGTGAATGTTACACTAACCGGCCAAAAGTATCCGGACACGCGGTTGTTAAAGTGGTGGGAGCATAAAGGTGTGGGCGTGCTTCTTGTGGTTTGGCCTGTGTCCATCAGTTCCTGTGGTTGGAAACATGAACTCTGAGATGTACATGTAGACAATGATGCACTCTATGGCAATATTTCGGGCCCATTTTTCTTCCAGCATTCACACATCGAGGCCTGCACAGGCGTGGTTTGACGAAATGGGTGTTCAAAAGGACTTCTCACATATCCAATCCCACAGAGCACCTTTGGGATGAATTAAAGAGAGCAGATCACGTAACCATCCTCACTGCAAGCACAGCTGTGATGGAATTCATAAACTGGTGGTAAAGTCTTCCCATAAGGCTGTCATCGATGGAAAAGGGAAACCAACATCCTATTACTATGCGCCTCTAAGTCTATACCACTGGGTGACCCCATACTTTTGGACAGATAGTGTATGAAGTGGCACCTTCATCTTAGAAATCAAGTAACCTAATTGATCCCCTTTTTCCCTAATACAAGGAAAACTTGGATGGTACATTTTGGCTTCCTTTGTTGAATACTTTTCCCTTCAACTGTGTACAGGGCATAATTAAAATGACCATCAGTCATAGGGCAACAAAATATAACAAATGGCGATTTAAGTATGAAAATCACCACTTTTTTCGTTGAAAAAGCAGCACTCCAAGCGTGTTTTATTATTATTTCTTTGTAAAAATATGGAATCATTATGGATATTTTATAATGTTCGAAAAATTACTTTTTCACGATATTTAATGTTAACTATGTTATGAGAAATGCTATACATTAATAATTAACATTTAAAAAATGTTTGATAATTTAAAAATGGCCACATACGTTAAAAAATGACAACTGCTAAAAAAAGCTATACCTGGCCAGTGATAAAATTTCATTAATTTCGTTACCACCTTGCAACTCTTTTGATGGACAATTAATGTTCCTTACTGGCCCCCTGAAGACCTTGATGATATTGCATGCTGCAACACACACATAAAATCTATTTGATCTGCAACACACACATAAAATCAAATCGATCTGCAACGCACATACATTAAATCGATTTGATCTGCAACACACACAGATAAAATCGATTTGATCTGCAACACACAGACACAAAATCAATTAGATCTGAAACATAGACTGGCACATTCAATACAGCTAAGTTGTTCTGAAACATTGTGACAACACCACACTGGACTGCCAGCTAATATAAATTTCTGTTCCTTTCATCAGTGATGTTAAAAAGACAAGCCGATATCTGCTCTTCTACTAAGTTGCGGTATAAAGAAAACATTATTCAGTTTCATTGCAGCGTTAAGTAAATAATTTTTGCAATATCTTGTGAGTCATAGAGGGTAAGTCTCTACAATTTTATGACCAGCGGTAGGATCATCTTTCTGCACCACTTTACTTTCCAGACAACCAGGTATCCAGAGCGCTTTAAACGGCCACTCGAGATAAGTTCTCCACTATGACAGTTCACTCCACTGAGTCCCAGTTGCCAAGGTTAAAACCTTGTATAAAGTGTTCACTGAGAGAGAAGATAACTCAAAAGTCATTAAAAGTAGGTATTTAAAAGTCTAACCACTCTTTCATGTAGGGGCAGGTGGAGGGTGAAATAATTGTTCCCTCCTGGCAGTCTTCAGACACCTGAAAAATAAACACAATCGTGTCATTTTTGTAACAAGAATTTAATTTTGTGCACTTGTCGAAACTAACATGCTTCGAGGAACAAAATGACTTTAGTCATTACTTTTTTTGCACAAGGTTGCCACTCCAATCTGGAAAAAAAATTCTCTGTGTTTACCTTAGTATATATTATACACAATAAATAAAGAGGAAAAACACAATCACTGCACTCTTGTGAGAGCTGCATTGGGCTAACTATACCAGTTATTACTTCTGAAAAAAGGAATAACTGAACATATATAAAACAAATAATGCTATAGTACATGAATTAGTTTAATATGGCTGAAATATCATTCTTAAATAACTCAACGATTGCACTTTCGAGTGGTTACCATTTTTTAAAAGATGAAAATAAGAAACGAAATTCCCCGCATTTTCCAGGTTTTTCCTATTCTCCCTGTCGAGTAGCAACCTTGAATTAACACATTTTCTTTATTATTTCATGGTTCATTTAATTTATTATTTGCTGTTTTTTTGTTATCTTTATTTATTGTTTGTTAGGTTAGATTTTGATAAAGGTTAGATTAATTGGAACAAAAAAAAAGTAATTTCATTGAAATTAAGTGAGGATGAAAGGTTTAAAACTAGTTTTAAGAGACAGCAAATTGCTTTCAATTGCAGCAATTTTTCCTTTTTATCTAAGTGTGCCAATCAGCTACAGGGACCATGAAGCAAAGATTCGTCATCATGTAGAAACATGTCTGGCTTACACAGGTCATAGGCAACCAATAATACATACAGAAATACCAAATAGGGCCATACTGCCATCATTAAAGATAACAATACGAATCAATTATGAAAATGTCTCGGTCATTATTATCAAATGTAATCATGTCCGAGTCTTATACGTAATGTTAATTATTAAATAAACCAGCGTTAAAAATTTTATTAAGGTAACAGAAATATTGACCTATCTAAAAATAAACTAAGTTGGTTTCATTAATTTTGCACTAATCGGTTGTTGTTCTTGTTCTCCAGTGGAGCCATCTATTGCCAAGAATTCGACTTCTGCCACACCCATACCAAGGGCCTGTTTAGAAGATATTTGGGTTCGCTAACGGAACCTTCACAAAATATCTTTTCATAAAAACGGACATTTCACAAAATAATTTATCTTTAATCGGACCCTTCACAAATTTGTTTACCTTGATTATTGTTTTGTTAATCGAATAAACCCTTCCCGGGGGGGGGGGACAAAAANGGCAGTTCAAGACAAACAAAGTTTGCCTAAGTTTAAATTCCGAATGCAGTATTCTAAGAAAATATTTTTACTTTTACATACATCGCGTCATACATCGCGTGTGCGGGTTCTTATTACTATTAAATCATAATTTTTTTGTTGTAAATAAATGATTGATCAATTTATATTCACTCATAAAATTAACTAATATAGAATACTATGTAAATAAAAATCAATTTCCGGCAATTTTTTTAAATAAAATATTACAAATTTAAGAATTGTTTAAGTTTGCTTAATGCGTAACACATTAAAAGTGATACATTACTAAGTTGTGTTATTTAAAATATGTCAATTGAAATTATTAAAAATGTGAGTGATTTTGTTTCCATTATTCGTCCGAAATGAATATTCTGTGTTGAGCAGTATAGGCTAAATACCAAATATTTGTATGTTGCATCTCTAATTTAGTAGCAGCAATTGTTGAGCAGAATCTTGTATCTATTTACAATTTAAAAACTTTTTGAAAGGGTTTTTAGCAATTTTTGCAATAACAGGACCCTATTTGCACAAATTCACAAAAGCAGGACCCTGGTTGAAAGAATGTGACTTAACGCTTATTTTATATTCACAAATTATGAATAGTTTTTTCTCAATTTTACAAAAACAGGACCTTTCTCAAAATGTCTGGGCAGACCCACGCATACATCATACACGTTTAAAGAGCGGATGCTATTCATACATACATCCACAGATTGCAATCTTGATCTGAACCAGAAAAAGATCAATCCAATTTAGTACCCATAGTGATGAAAAGGAAAATGGAAGACTTTGTGACCCGACAGACTTAGGGTGCACCTGTCACCATTTACTACAGGTGGAGTTTTTGAAAGGCTGGATATAGGACTTATATACTTATCGGATAAAGGAACAAATGTTTGCGTTGGCGATAGATCGGAAATACATGGTCTCTATGACCGATCGGTTATAGGATTTATATAGTAATCAGCTATAGGACTTATATACTTATCGGTTATGGGGACAAAAGCTTGTGTTGGCAATAGATCGGTATAACTTGCAAGTGTATTAGTTCCAAGCATATAGAATGTAAAGAAAGGATTACTTACAGGACATACTCCGCAGGGTACCCTCATTAGACCACAACTTGTGACTAAAGGTTTGACGTCTCTGTACACATATCTGTCACTACTGGAAGGAGAAAGACACTTTTCAACCTTACCATCGTAAATCAAAGTATCCAAAATGGTCTCAATGTCCTGCATGCTTAAGACAACCTGAAAATACATTTACAAGGTCATTTTGATAAATGAGATACACATTTATTAATAACAGGATTGCCACTCAAATCTGTAAAATAAATTCCCTGTGTTTTTCCTGTACATATTATACACAATATATTAAGAGGAAACACAACAATTACTGTGCTATTGAGTGACCTATATTGGGCTAACTATACTAGTTTTAATTGCTGGGGGGAAAAAAGTACAGCTGAACTTACTTAAATAATGCTACAGCAAATAAAATAGTTTAGTACAGCTGAAATATCATCCTTAAACACCCCATAGATTACGCTTTGAGTAGTCACCATTTTTTTTATAGGACAAAAATAAAAAAACAAATTTCCCTGGATTTTCCCTGCTATTTCAGGTGATTTTAAAAATCCCTGTATTTTCCAGGTTTTCCCTGCGGAGTTGCAACTCTGCATTAGGAATGATTAAATAGGAATATTTAAATACAATATAAATTTACAAGTAAATTTATTTTAAAAAAAGGAAATTAAAAGGTTAGGCCATCTAAAATGGCATGACAATATGTATTCACTTACTTTGCTCACTTTCAGACTGTTTATGTGATCGCAAATCTCTTCAGATGTTTTAAATGAAGATTTACGTTGAGATATGGGATCCAAGCTTTTATCAGTCATAGCCTTCTGAAAATTTATACAGAACAAATTCACTGTTAAATCACTTTTTATAATTTGCAAGTGTTTTACTATGAAATAACTATAAATTTACATTAATTTTCTTCTGTTTACTACTGACAATAAATTTAATTCAATATTTTTTTAAAAATATTTATTATTATTATTTGAATGCCAACCTCCTTTTTTAAAATGTAAGAGTTTCGCAACTAAATTGCTGAAGAAATAATTTAAATTGCTGAAGATTTTACATATTCTCAATTTGCATTCCTTATTCAAATAATTAGTAGAACAGTCAATGAGGCAAAATCTTTTCAGGCTTTCTGTGACATTCCCTCTAATACTAATATCTCTTTGCAACACACTTTTAAAAATAACAAATATACATGCCACTAATACAACAGAGGCATCAACTTAAAAAAAAAAAAACTTGTTGGTTAAAATAATATANATACTTTTAAAAATAACAAACATACATGCCACTAATTTAAAATACAACAGAGGCATCAACTTAAAAAAAAAAAAAACTTGTTGGTTAAAATAAAATAATATAAAATTCTTATTTGAACATTTAATATTTTTTTATTTTAATATTACGGCCAATATTCTTGCATGGATGTTTTCATTTCGAGATTCAGTTGATGTGATAAATAATATCGAATTAAAAATATAGGATATCAAAAACAATGTGGAAATCAATAGTAATAACTACATTAAAAAATAGAATAGAAACTTCTGCAAAAGAGAAAACCAGAAATTTTTTACTTCCAAAGGGAAAAGTCTCTTTGCAAGAACTCGGTAACGCTTTGTGACAGTGTCGTGTTGCCACGGGGAGAACATTACTGAAATAAATTATTTTAACATTATCAGGTCAAAAAAATCTGAAATAGAAGAAAATTATAATTTTTTTTTACTGTGTGATACTTAACATCCTATATTTTGTATTAATTAATGAACTACAACATGGATTAGGAAATTTTATATGGTATCGTCCAAGCAAGAAAGGAAGGCTTATCCTCACATGTGTGGAAACTTAAGTAGTTCTAAAAAGGTACAAAATTTTCATATACATTTTCAAAGTGTAAAAGATTTGAGCCTCAGAGAAGAAAGACAGTGTGGAATAGATGCAGAGCAGCTTTTGCAATTTACATAAAAATTTGATGCTAGGTTTTTAATATATTTTGAATTATTAACTAAAATTCAAAATTTTCAATAGAAAATGGTTTCAATTCATTTTTACTAACAGTTTTTAAAATCAAGATTCTTGAGTTGTATGAAATATCTAATTGCTTTTAGTGGAGAGGTACAAGAAAAAATAATTTATCTTTTAAAAACCACAATGAAACTCAATGTTTATGTCAGTTAGTAATGTAAAGATTTCTTAGTTTATTCGGAAAAATATGAATTTGTCTTAAAAATTATTAAAACAAAAACTGTATAGGTTTAATTAGATTATTTAAAAAGTATTATATTTTGAGGTCTAAAGTTTGGCACACATTTTCCTCTGTAAATCTGGAGAGAAAAATTCCCTGCACATATTATACACAATATATTAAGAGGAATACAATAATTACTGTGCTCTAGTGTCAGCTATATTGGGCTAACTATATTTATTAGTTTTAATTGTGGAAAAGAGAGAAAAAAGCAAGAAAAAAATTAGCCTGGAAAAAAAACTTCTTGAGAAGGCCAAAGCCCATCCTAGGCTGTTGAGCCATTGATGATGATGAAATGATTTTAAATATCTTGACATTTGAAGTATGCATTTTGCATACCTGCCAACATTAGAGAAATAAAATGACGGAGATTTCACTCGCAACACTTTTTTTACGAGTAAAGTTTTAATACATCATGCATAATAATGCAAGTCAAAAGGAGAAATTAAAAAACAAAAATAATATAAGCACTTACATTTAGTGAAGCAAAAAATATGTATAAAAATCTTAATCTAAAGAAGATTTTTTTAAACCCTTTTTTATAATTACTTATACTATAAACATTCAAAATACTGCAGTACTGGCAAAAGCACTATCTGTAGAGGATTAAGAGAAGTATTTTTGACACCCACAGACATTTCGTTGTTAATTTTTTTTAAAAACTTTTTCCACAAATACGGAGAAATTTGAGAATATACAGGTAAACAGGAGATAGTCTTAAAATACAGGAGTCTTCATTAAAAAACAGGAGACTTGGCAGGTATGATTTTGGAATTTTAATGATACAATTTCTGTGTTGAAAACTAGGTAATAATTGTTTTGGTTAGTAGAAGTCTTAATTAGTATTTGATAGCAATATGAAATATTCACTGCCTGAGACAAGTAGCGATAGCATTGCTGGTTTAGAACTTCCACAAATTCCGATTCAAATTCTTGATCACTATACCAGGTCCCTCCAGTAACAGATCGATCTGGCTCAATATTGTAGAGCATATACACTTTCTTCTTAGAAGCCTATTAAAACAAACATTTCACAATCAACAATTTGTTTCATTTCTATGAATTAATGTCCCTAAATAAAATTCAAAAAATAAGGTGAATCAAAATGTATGGATGGCTGACCACTTAGAGCTAAGAACAGATGGCGCAAGACTACCGGGTTACTACTTCTGATTGATTTAAAAAGTCAGAAATACGAAGAATACTTTAAGATATGCCTGATTGATTATTCAGTATGCGGATCCAGATCTCCCAACAAAAAATAAGCACTTTCTAAGTACTTTTTAAGCACCCAAAAATATTTTCAAGCACTATATACATTAACAAAATACAAAATAATTTTCAAAGACTTTAAGTGATCATGACAAAATATAACTAGTTTCTGACAAAGAACTCTTTTCTTGATTACATTAGCCATCATAAAAAGATCAAGAGATTTTTTGGTTTGATGTCAAAGGGTAGAAATGAAGCCTGAAATTGAGAATGTCTTGCAAAATGCAGCAGAGCTGTACATGAGAGTGCAAGAATCTCACCGAACCCAGTTCAGTATATACACATGTGAACTCGTAAGTAGTTCATCAAACATGTAAAATTAATGGCGCTTTCATATGCTACGGACCGATGGTATGCTGAAATAGATTGTGGTTGAATGAATTGCGAAAACGTTGAATAGAACAATGTGAAAAGTACACTTTTGTACATATGTGGCGAAAATCGACATGGTAATGAAAAAAAATCTCATTTTTGAAATAGGAAAATTAAGAACTTTTTAAAAACACCAAATGAAAAAAGCACCTTTAAGGGGTTTCAAAAAACGAAAATAAAAAAAAGCACCTTTTAAAAACGCTATACACCACGTTATTACTGAGCTTGGAAAGCCATTAAATATTATTACACTCGTAGTGTTCTCAATATCATGTGTTCTTTCAATATCAATGAAACAAATAACAAATGAATTTGGAAGTCCCGGCAAGCTTTCTATGATATTACCCAAAAAATAACAAACGGTGATATTTTACGTAATTATAGCCAAATAATGGATGACACTCAAAACATGGCAAACCTTACACTTAATTTATATTGTAATATAAATTTTGTTTTACCCTCACTACCAGTTAGAATTTATAAATTACAGAAAACTCATATGAGTTGTAAAATTAGGTGTGAATTTAAACACAAATCACGTCAATTAAACTTCCTAGAATATTAAGCCTGTTCACGCATCGCCTCGTAAGCAACTTGCAGGGAAGCAGAGGGATACACCAGAAGTTTTCTAAATTTCTTCCGGTTTTAGAAAGTTTGTTATTGATTATATTCAGTCAACCATCCATGTAACTATACAGGGGGTCCTTTAAATGTTGCTGGGGGAAGTAAGACACATCAAAAGGATTAAGAATCACCAAGGAAACCATATCCGTAAATGTTATCGTATGACGCTAGGGGCGTTTTCCTATTAAGGACTGTCACTTTGAGTGGCATCGAACATGAGGTACTTTTATTTATCAATTATTGTCATTGTTTTCTATTAATTATTTTCAAAAACTGCTTTCAAATAGTTATTATCACCCATTTTATCGTAATTTAATGATTTGGTGACTAACTGAACAAGCTCCCCTATTTATTAAATTACGATAAGACAGCAATATATCAAAACTATTTTAATAGAACTTCCGACAATAAAGATAACTGGTCGATACGAATTCCGCACTTGTTTCCACATGAATTTCTCATTTTGTAAGTATTGTTCAAAACTATTATGAACTTTAAGTACAAAGCTTTAATCTAATTTGTGCGCCATATCCATATAGTTATATAATTTGTTGATATAATCACACAACGAATTATGGGATTTCAATTATTATTAAAATAACTTTTAAAATTAAACACTAAAAAAAATTTTAAAAAATTCATTGTTGGATATTTTTTATGTAATAAGATCAAGATTTCAACATTTAAATTTTTGGATACACACTTTAACAGTTAAAAACAGTTTTGGATCATTAGTACTAAGTTTTTTTTCTTCAAAAAGCAGTTTAGGGCTTAAATCTGGAGAAAAATAATTAAACTTCAAAATAAAGAGGCTTAAATGTACAGTGTACTGATTAATGCAGACGATATTTAAGTTACAAAATCAGACACGAAAACGTATTTTCTCTGAATAAACACACCTTTTTTCGACGGATTCCGATTTTCTGACTCCCAAAGTATAAGGGGTAGCCATGATCTGGAAAATATGGTCCCCATAGTATGCTCATGAGAAACAGTTTAAAGTTTGGACCCCTTAATATTAATTTTATTTTTTTTGCATTCTGCCTTATCTCGAGAATTTTCAAAGCAAATAGAATTTTTTCACACAATTATAAAATTAGTTCATCTAAAGATAATTCAATATTTATTAAATATTTATTATTATTTTATCTAATAATAGTCGAAAAGATTTTGAATTGTAAGGTATATAATTTTTTACATCATTTTTAAGAATGTAATTTTATATGGCAAAATACAAAATTTGAACGAAATCGGTCGAGTAGTACCTGAGACATCGAAAAGTTAAAAATTCATAGAAAGTGAAAAATAATCTTAAGTTAAAAATTCAATTTCGCAGCAACTGTTGAGCGATTTCGCTCAAACTTTGTAAAATTAAATCCTTTAAAATGATGTAAAAATTTTTATACAACACAATTCAAATTTTTTTTGCCAATTATTAAATAAAACAATAAAAAACAAGAAATAATTACTAAAAGTGATATTTTGCATGGAATTATGTTTGGATAACTGAACTTCATAACAGTATGAAATTTTTTTTAATCGCTTAAAAAGTTCTCGCAATAAGAGGAAATACTCAAGAAATAAAATTAACATTAAGGGGTCCAAACTTTGGACTGCTCTTCTGACCAAACTATTAGGACTATGTTTCCCAGATTGGGGCCAATGGATCAGAAATCCTCATTCTTCCAAAAAAGAGGTATGTTTAGAATACATTAGATCAAGCTCAGAGCAGTTTGTTTTTTATTTTGCGCACTGTACATACTCAAAACAAATTTAAAAGTTAGAGCATGATTAAATAAGTAACCATGTTATTGTTGTAAGCCACCTTAAAAATTCAATGTTTTTATCGTTTAATGCTATTATTAAAAGCACTTAATACAAATCAAACTACATAAACAAATCAGAGATGAAAGTATAGTTAACATGAACCATGATGGAAAAAATATATATTTAATTGTATTACTTACTGTTACAGAAGTCACAGATTTTATTAACTTTTTACTTTCTAAACTTTTCACAATTTTGTTAACTTGTGTTTGAGGCAGGTTACTGGCTAGCCTTAAATCTCTTATCCATATGCCTAGATAAAAAAAATCTTAGTTAATGAAACAAAATATTGTAGAAGAATATGGAATCTATTATTTACTAATAACTTGAAGCTCAAAATAAGATTTATTTACTCGCCTGTGAATCAATATCAATCTTAATGGAATTATGAGCTGTAAGCAAAATAAAGAACTTCGAATAAACTTTGATCTAATGGTTGGTACTATGGTGCATTCTTAATAAACTCATCTAAAATAGGTAAATCAACTGGAGAAAATAATAATTACAAAAACTTCCCTTATTTTCATTTTTTTCCTGCCTAATTTTGATTTATGATGTCCAAAGTAAAAGAGGTAGCCTTAATTTTGTATATATGGTCACAATATTTTCATCAAAAGACTGATTAAAGTTTTGGGACAGTTAATATAAAGTCTCGGCGGAAGACGTAGTCACCAAGCAATAATGAAAAAAGAGCCTTTCACTCAATTTTGGAAAAGGAATTCAAATTTTCTTAAAATATCCCTGAATTGTCTTGTTGGTGTAGTCATAATGCAGTATAAAAATGCTTTTTATATGTACTATTACAATATTTATATCGGAGAATTATAAAATCTCAATGTTGATTTGGTAAACATGTGAATGAACATCTTACATTAGTTTCCTAGAAAATCTTTTAATAACTATTTTAAATATATATTAAAGAACAAAATCAGATGAATAAATAAGTTATCAAGCCTGCTATTATAAAAAAATACAAGTCTTACATCAGTTTCTCAGAAAATCTTTTAAGAACTATTTTAATTATACATTAAAGAACAAAATATGTAAAAATGTTTCCCTGTTGTTAAGAGAAAATTTATTAAGATCTCGGTAATTATTTTGAAAATTAAACTTTTGGTCTTGTTTACAAATAGTCCCATTTTCACAAAAAATCTGCCAAGATTTGGATGAAAAACTTAAATTTATATAAAACATCAAGACTTGTATCAGCAAATTCAAATTATATTAAGAGCACATTCGACACCCACACTCCATTGACACAAAATTAATTTTTCTACTATACACTTTTCTTTCTATCTTCACAAAAACAAATTTAGAGAAACTTAACCATAAATAAAATTATTCTAAAAATATATGAATGAAAAAAAATACCTATAAATATATTTTTAAATATACTTTGAAAAAAGGAGAGGAAGTGAATGATTTAAAGAACGTTAAATCTGAGTTTAGTTCGGCACAGCCCCCTAACCTGGCACCTATTCCTTCCCCAGCCCTGTTAATACAGTTTGACATCATAAAACATTTCAAATAAATGATTAACTGATAATGATTGCACAAATTAGAATCTGAAACTTAGTTATATTTACCAAAGAAACCATAGTGTTGTTCCGAGCTAGTTAACGTAGACGTATGCGTGCACGCTGAGTGTGGATCCACACACAGAAATTCTTAAATCGGTTACATACATTTTTGGGTTGTTTGACAATGATAAGAGTTAAAATTTAACATAATTGGGTTTTTTTTTATTGAATTGATTCATGCTATGGATAGTTTTTCTGAGTTTTGTGATATACTTCCCTTATATATTTGTTTTTACTGGCTGAATTTTTAAAAGCGTCGTCGAACAGCAGATCCAATTTTTTGGGTTTACAACTACTTATGTCCAACTAAATAATAAGTAAAATAAAATACTGCAAAAAAATTTACCTTTATTACCCGCTCTTTCTGTTAATTGGTAAATAACTTTTTCTTCAATATCTGCACTTCTACAAGATCTGAAACATTTTTAGAGCAAATAATAACAATTATGCATAAAATTTTTTAAGTAGAATTATATTTATTTTGCACTAAGATTCCTTCTCTTAACAACTCATTTGTTCATATGAAACAAGGTTAATATAATATAAATGTCAGGATCATGATTTTCTTTCACTTATTTTATTTTGAGTGTTTGAAACTGGCTGACTTTAAGATATCTCACTCTGTTTTTAGAAAAAGGTGAGAAATTCTTCTCAATTTTTTCTTCTATGATTAAAACAGCCACTGATGTAAATATTCCCATCGATGTAATCTTTATCCAATAGAGTAGGGTCCCAATTATCCGAGTGAATGTGGAGCATGACTTACTCGGGTAACCAAAAAACTCGATTGAAGAGTATAAAAAAGGAAAGAAAAAGAGTAGGTATAAATGTATTATACTTAACAAATACAAAATTTATACGAGTACACCACATACAATTCACATTATAATTAAAAATATTACTTTAAAACACTTAAGGAGCATACTTCACGAGAATTAAGAAGTTTTTACTTAAAAAAGGACTCTAACATTTTTTTGGTTTACATTACTTTGGCAATTTCTGCAGCAGTGTTTCGCCATTTTTTTTGGAATAACAGGAAGGTTGGTGTCACCTCTTCCTGTTATTCTATACATTCAATAGCACTTTCGATAACTATAAGAATAAGAATGTGCCAAAAATCGGTGTAGATGCCTGAAAAATTTGCACTGAAATTCTTTGACAGAGTTGCCACAGATATCTGTAAATAAATATTCCCTGTGCCTTCCCTGTACACATTATACACAATATATTGAGAGGAAACACACAACCACTGTGCTCTTGTAAACCATATTATGATAAAGATGCCAGTTTTAGTTGCAGGAAAAACTTGGAGAAATAAGAAACAGCTCCACATAAAACAAATAATGTTATAATAAATTAAATATAATATAGCTGAACTATCATTTTTAAATATCCCACAGATTTCGCTTTGAGAGGCCTGCATTTTTTAAAAGACAAAAATAAGAAATAAAATTCTCTGTTTTTTCCAGTTTGTAAGGAAAAAGTCAAAATTCCCTGCATTCATTTTTTTTTTTTTTTTTTTTTGGCTGATTAATAAATTTCCTGTATTTTTCAGGTTTTCCCTGTGGAATAGCAACTCTGTTTTAGCAATGGCAAAAAAAAAAAGAAAAGTAAAAAAAAATACTTTTTACTGAGACTAATATAAAATGTGACAAATATCAAATTTATTTTAATAACAGTAAATATGTGCATATTTTTTTATAAAATTCACGGATGCATTTAAAATTTAAATTGCATGCCAATCGAATAATTAATATATTTTAATAATTTATGTCATCAAATAATCTAATTACGATTATATTTGCATATTGAGGTTGTTTAGAGATTTAAAATATACAGACTTTAAATTAAAAGTTTATTTAAAACAAATAGATAGAAATATGAACAAAAAAGAAAATATTATTTTAGTCTCATACTTTAAAATATCAATGCCTAAAGAAAAGGAAAGATTCTGTTGCCAGTAATAAATATCCAGCTCAAAGTCAGACCAGATAACTAGTCATCCACAGAAAATGCAAGATCTATTGCAGGGGGATGGGGGGCAACCCGCGGCTCTTTGAAGGATTATTTGTGGCTCTCGATAAATGTTCACGAGTTCCCTTTTTGTGCTATTATATTTTTAAAAATTATTATTGTTCCGTATGTGCTTCAAAATGTCGTTTAAATTACTGACAACAAATATGAAAGACTAAGTGCAACGTTGTATGTAACAAATTTCATTTCTGTCAATGTTAAGAATGATATGACTCATCGAAAACTGTGAAATAGATTTCAAAATAGATTTCAAGACTTGAAATACTTTAAATTTGATCTTGATTTTCCTTCTGAATTCATTTGAAATTAACATAATTCAAGGTGAATTTTCCATTTCCAATATATTTATGACCCAAAAAGCATCTGAAAAATTAGAATTAATAGAGATGCAAGAAGATTAAGCTCTACAATTAAAATATAAGTCGACGCCGATTACTGAATTTTGGAAATTTGAACCAGAATCAAAGTATTCTGAATTAAAAAAGTCTGCTTGTCAAATTATTTCAATGTTCGGAACAACGTACTTATGTAAATCCTTTTATTCCACTTTAAAATTCGTGAAATCCAAACACCGATCAGTATTAACTAGCCAGCATCTCAAAGAATTACTGAGAAGTGCTGTCACCAATTATTCACCAAATTTTAAAGAATTATCAAGAGAAGTAAAATACAAGTGTTTAATTTTTAATATTTAAATTCATTATACATATTTTGTACTTTTATATATATGTTTTCAATAAATACAATTTCTGTAAAAAAAAAAAATTAATACCTTTTTTGCATACCTTTTAAATATACCTATTTAATTGCTGAAATTACCTATTCAATTTTGAAAAATGGTTCGACTAGCAAGCAGATTGCTAACCCTGATCTATTGCATCCCTTAAACAAACTATGAATAAAAAATTGAAGAGAGAGAAAAGATTTGAATAAAATAAAGGGATAAAACAGGTAAAATACTTTTTTTTAAAAATCTTTTATTTAAAAAATTATGCAAAAATTGATTTCAAAATTAAAAAACATATGAATTGAGTGAATTTTAAGTGGGATATTCTATTCAAATCATCATATTTCAATACAATCGAGTGGGCTATGAATAACTTAATAGGTATACCTATAGTTAATCAATGAATAATTTAACAAAGAATTTTTCTAAATTTTTTTAAGCTTATAGATTATGTTGTACTCACTTAGCAACACTTTCTTTCATTTTATAGACCAACTGCTTCCCTTTATGAAAAATCTGTATTTTGTCCTAAATAATAATAAAGATTTAGAATGTTAAAATAAGATGTTTTGGATGCAATAGCATATTGTAATTTTATGCAATGGCATTTACCATATGAAAAATATTTTTTTTTAAGAATAAAATAAATGAATTATTTTCATTGAAATGAAAATGAATAAGAGCTGTAATAAATGTAAAGAATAATTATATGGGAAGCTTACTTTCTTATTATTGATTTCAGTTGTTTTGTTTTGAATATCTGATCGGGAAATATGAAAAATATTTTTTTTTAAGAATAAAATAAATGAATTATTTTTATTGAAATTAAAATGAATAAGAGCTGTAATAAATGTAAAGAATAATTATAAGGGAAGCTTACTTTCTTATTATTGATTTCAGTTGTTTTGTTTTGAATATCTGATCGGAAATACTAACGTGATTCTTTTAACTTATCTTTTTCATAATTTTAAATGTCTTTTTTAATTTTATTTTGCAATTTATTGTTTTATAACAATTTAATTCTCATTGTTTCCTTAATATAATTTCTTCTTTTCAATATTTTTAAATCGTTTAATTTCATAGAAAAGCCAACACATTACATAATTACATAGAAAAGCCAACACATTACACTGAATAAAAAAATCTTTACTGAATAAAAAAAACACATAACCATTGATCTAGAATGTGCTTTGTTTTTTGGAACGAAAAGATAAGAGTTAGACAGCATATAAGACTAATTTTATTTTGTTGACAAGTAATTTTTGTCTTTGACAAATTTTTAAGCCATAATTTCTTCCACACTCAATAGCAAGAATTTAAATGTTAGTTTAAGCGTAGGAAATAATAGAAAATTTAATCCAGATTAGACAATTATAGCCTGATTATCAGCGCAAGTAAGAACACTAAAATCTTCCCAGGTACAAAAGGTTCAATAAGAAAAGTAGACAGTTCGAAACATTTAAACAAAATTTACTTACAGCAGCAGTTAGGTTATTCAAAACTTCTACCAATTGCGCCACACCTATAGACGACAGTTCCGTCTGCAACATTTTATTTGTAACACCATCCGGATTTTTTAATAAAAGATCTATAATACTGCAAAAATTAAAATATGTAAGGTGAGTATTTGAAACAATTTCTGACTAATAAATACAGAATAATGCTTAAAAAGATTACTTTACTTTTTTTCCAAATCCATTTTTTTGTTATGCACTATTAATTAATAAATTTCAAATAAAAAACATCGAAAAAAATCCTAAAAATAATTAGTAAAAATTTCACTGCTTAACTTGTTCAAATGTTTATTTATTAGATTTTACGATTTTCAGAAGGCTTGGACTGTTTGTTTCTACTCGACAAAAAGCTAAATTTCTATAGTCCTGAATTTTATGGAAAAGAGGAATCTCGGAAAAAGATGTCATTAATACTTTATCTTTTTCAGCATTAAAATGGTTACCTTTCATAAAAAGTTGACTAAAGATAAAGTATTATTCATTCTTTTCTTGCGTTCCTATTTTCTATGAAATTCAGCGATATCGCTTTCAGTACTAATTGCTCGCTTCCGTTTTAATGCATTTTTCTGATCAGAAATGTAAAATTAGCTCAGGCAGAAATAAGTAGCTGAAGTGGGCTCACCGCACTTTGCAATACTCAATAAATATAAAAATCAAATTTTCTTAGCCAAAGTTATTAACAATTTTTGACTTGAGTGATGAATTTTTCTCAATTAAAAAATAGTTTTTTCTCTATGCCATTATTTTCGCTCTCCAACTTATTAAAAACAGGTTTGTTACTTATATTTTGTTCCAACTATGATGCAAATCTTTATTTCATGCGAGTTTATGAAATACTTCTATTTGTAGGTTCTCCTTTTTTATCTTTTGAGCGAGGTATTGCCAAAGGTGTAACCCAAAACCGTCGTCAGAAGCGTAAACCTCCTGGTGTTAAAAGATTAGATGGAAATTGTGTAAGGCGTGGTGAAAAAATTGTAAAACAATTCTTTCTAAACTTCCATCCTGGATTAAATGTAAGCTATGACTCCTTATTTTTTCGAAATAAAGGTTCTGATATTTCTGTATAGGTGCCTTTTCGTATCGTGATCTATAGCGCGAACTACAATCGCCAAGGTGCCAAATAGATTTTAAACTTAGAAATTTTTGTTTAAAAAAATGAAGATGTTTGCCTGGAGGTGTTTATGAGTTATACCTTTCGAGTTGTTCACTTTCTGTGTTTTTTTAGTTTCTCTGTCCGAAAGTTGCCAAGATTTGGTGATAATTCTGCCACAGATCATAGAAGGAAAAATAGCGCAGACTTATACCAAATATTAGTTACTAGGCAACAGTTCAGTCACCAGTATGCGCCCATTTTTTACCAAAACATAGCGCTGACAGAATTGGAATCTTAACCCCCAGATGACAGTTATGTCATGTACACTGCTAATAGTACACCGAACAAACGTATGCCGGGCAGTAGCACTTAACCTTAAAAAAACATCAATGCAGATAGAATTTGTGGGGAGAGAAGATATCAACCTTCATGTATGAAAAGGTACCCCTACATAGAATCGAGGTAACATGTCTTCTATACTAGTGAATTTGAACTATATTTTTGTAGTTTTAGATACACTACTGTACTCTCCCACCAGAATTTTATCTGTGATAGAATGCGATGAACCAATACCACTAGTTGGTTCATTACAGTTTCGTGAGAAGCCGGGAGAGCTGTATTAAGATCACCATACTTTTTGAGTGCTGTATTAAGTTCACGGTCGTGGTCGCTCCTGTGTTGCCTTTAGCAGTCAAGTGTATGTGTTGTGCGTGACTGAGACTAAGGTGCAACAGTGTGAGGACACTGTCGCAGTCACAAGTCAACTGTTCAATGTGGACCATCCATCAAAGTAGGCATGTTTAAATCGAAGTGGGCGTTACTGTTAAGACAGGCATGTTAATTTCGAAGTGGGAGTTTCTGTCAAGATAGGCATGTTCACATCACGTCCGAAGGTCACTAATGTGGGGAGAGTTGATATCGACAATGTCAACCTTCATTTATAAAAAGGTACTCCAACACAGAATTGAGTTAACATGTCTTATATACTAGTGAATTGGAATTATATTTTTGTAGTAGTAGATACACTACAAATTTAAAATATTAATATAACAAAAATGTAGATATATATCAAATCATTTTCCCTATACTACATTTTTGATACCGCTCAGCATAAAATTGTATAACAAAATACGAAAATTCCCCTAAATAGAATACATAAAAATGTATCTGAAAGTTATAATTCTACTGATGATACAATCCTAGAATCCCCTGGCAACTTTTTGAAATCTCCCCAAGTTGGTGATTGTTACTTAGATATACATTGTTTTTTATTATTATTAAACAATTTCAACATCATTCTAATTGTTGGTTATTTCCAGGTGGGTATTGATGAGAAAAACAACCTATATGCAATGACAGAAGGTAGAGTTATGATGACGTGTGAAGAAATTAATCCTATCTCAGAGACTCTGCATGCACAAAAATATTATTCGAACAAAGTGGCTCCAGTTATATACAAGAGGTTTTTTCATGTTGTACCATTTCCTCAGGGACAAAAGTTTAAATTAACAGATTTAGTTTAAAATGTACATTTTTAATTGTTTTAGTTAATAAAAGATTATTACGATAACATGCAAAGAAATTAATCTCATAAACTGTAAGGAAAGGTGCTTCCTACAGTATGCAATTTTGGGTGAATAAATACAAAATAAATTGATGACACTATAACAATTTCTACAGTTTAATATATAGTTAGAAGCATGATTTATCCCAGTTATTAAAATGCATTATTAATAAGGAAAGATATTTACATCCTTTGTTCTTTAATATCCAAATATATAGAACGTCAAGATTGTAGTTAACCGCTTTGCTTACCAATTTTTTTAAAAAAATACAAAAAATCATATTGTTTTATTTCATTAATAAATACAAGGAACTAAAACAAAACATAATACACAAGTTCTAAGTTGAAATTTTAATTTTATGTGTAAAAAAGATTTAATTTACCATCAGTTTACTATCCCAAATTATCTCAGGCGAATGAAAAAAAGTTAAATATTAGTCTTTGTATATGTTCACATCTTCATCATCTGAAACATCATCTGCATTACTTTCGATCTAAAACGCCATTTTTTTTTTTTACTCCTTTCTTTCTTTTTCTAAATAAATTCAGCAAACATGGTATATACATTTGCATAAAACACGTCTGCAGTCCCACTAACAGCAAAACTCCCAAACAAAAATTGGCAAACTTCCATTCACAGCAGATTATCATTATTTTTTACTTTGCTTCCGACCGCATAACGTGATAAAACAAAACATATTGACGAATTCTGCTATGCCCGAGTTTACTCAGGATAATAAATATTTTCTATATATACATACCAGAGTTAACTCTGGAAAATCAGAGAAGTGGTTAAGGAACTTTGATCTTGTGCACTTCTCTTCTACCAACATGTATTGTTGTATTTAAGCAGCTATTTTTATAATGCTGTTCCCTTTCCTATCATTTAGTGATTTTAGTTTTACGTAATTTACTAAAGCTTCATCAAATTTATGAGTTCTTATGACTTGCAGAAGTATAGCTGCATGATTGAACCTACACACCTCAATTTTACAAAAGCATAGCTGCCAGCATGAAAAAGAAAAAAAATCCTTTAAATCTTGTAATATGATAGGGGGGAGACTTGGTGCCACGAATGTGTCAAAATTAGTTCTCTTTTCTTGTGAATAAATGACACTTCATTAGCTTTAATTTTAAAAAAGAAAAACTTGAACATTTAAACATTTTTTATTAATTCTTAAAATATTGAGCAATACAACAGAAGGCCATATACACGCATAGACAATATTTAGCCATTGCCATTTGTACAGTCAAATCCCATTTTAGCAAAAACTGAAAATTTCAAAGTATCAAATATTTTTCAAATCCCCAATTAAATTTTCATTGTAACAATCTATTAAAAGTACCGATGTTCGAGATAGATTATCAGATCTAATGAAGGCAAAAATAAGCATTAATCCTTTATCAAGAGGCTTTTACCTTTCTTTAAAAGTATAACCATGATCTCAGAATTTAAACATCTTTATGTCTGTAACCAAAGGATGTTTTAAAGATTTTGTTACTGAAAAGGATGATGCTAGCACATGTGAAGCACTGACAGACCAAGATATTGTTAGGGTGATACAAGAAAAATATCATAAATGACGAAGAGCGTGAAAAAAAATCATTTCTGAATCTATAACTTTACAACCAGTTCGAAATCTGTAAAGAGATATTTATCAAGAAAAAAAATTTAGATACTTTATTTGAACATGTACATTATTTGGGAAAGTCAGCCATTTCAACTGGTTCTAAGTCCTGTGTACAAAAAAAGAAATTAAGTATTTGTCTAACAAGTAAGTTTTAGCAAATTCATTATTTATTTTAATTCAATAGTTTTTGTGAGCTTTTTCAACATTACATTGATATTTTTCTTAATCAGGGTGCGTAGCCAAATCTTTCACCAAAAAATAACTACTTTTTAAGCACTATATACATTAAAAAAATGCAAAATAATTTTCAAAAACTTTACATGATCATGATAAAATAATTAGTTTCTGACGAATAACTCTTTTTTTTTTATTATATTAACCCTTTAAAATGCTTGAGAGATTTTTCGGTTCGATATCAGAGGGTTAAAAATGAAGCCTGAAATTGAGAATATCTTGAAAAATGCAGCAGAGTTACACATGAGAGAGCAATAATCTCACAGAACCCAGCTAAGTAGACGCATATGCGGATTCTTAAGTATTTCATCAAATATGTAAAATGATTGGCGCTTTCATACGCTACGGACCGATCGTACGCTGAAATAGATTGTAGTTAAATGAATTGTGAAACCGTTGCATAGAACAATGTGAGAAGCACACTATTGCATAACACGTGGCGAAAATCGACATGGTAAAGAAAAAAATATAATTTTCGAAAATGGAAAATTAAGCACTTTTTAAAAGCACCTTTAAAGGCTTTTAAAAACCAAAATCGAAAATAAGCACTTTTTAAAAACTCTATGCACCATGTAAATGAGGAGCACTAATGTATCAAAATTAAAAATAATTTATTTTTGTTATGCGAAAAACTCCAAAGTAATAAAATAATTTTAGTTAATGTTAAAATTCGTAATATCATGAAAATGAACCTTTATAATTTTGTAGCAAATCCTTTGGTCTCTGGAATTCACTAAAACGAGATTCAACTGTATTAAGAAATGATTTTTTTTTTAAAACTTTTTCTAACTTATATCTGTAGAAGATAGCTTTCAACTGTTTAAATTCACACATTTTACTTAGCCTACCTGTTAACAAGAAGGTTCAGTTGAACCAGTTTAGGTTCATAAACGTCTTACTTGTATCAGTTAATTTGGTTATTATTAACCAAATTAACTGATACAAGTAAGACGGTTGTGAACCATGAAGCTGAACTGTTTCAACTGAATCTTCTTGTTAATAGGTAGACTAAGTAAAATGTGTGAATTAAAACAGTTGGAATCGATTTCCTTCATAGTTAGAAGCAATTGCTCACATCTTGTGTCAAAATTTTATGCAATTATTGCATATAAATGCAATAATTGCATAAAATTTTGTAAGCCTAGCTTGGATATTTATGGAGATAAAGACATTTTTATACAAAACTTTTTTTTTTATCTTACAATGTTTTGCTATACTATAATATTCAATAAAGTTAACAAAATTTTTGGAACAATTTTCATAAATAACAAATTTATAATTTGAAAAAAGAAAAATTCATTAAAACTGCACAAGATTTGAACATTTAAAGTAGTTCTTTCAAGCTGTGTATGCAAGAAAACATGCACAAAAAACAATTCATAATTTTGCAGTGATCATATTTGGTAACTAATGAAGGGAATTTTATTTGAATATTTTGCAAATTTTTAAGTAGTTTTTTACTATTTTTGAAGCTCTAAATGGTTAAGGTTTTTTCACAAATTTAATTTTGTATCATAAGACAAAATTTAATAACAAATGATATAATAATTGCCCAAGTACCAGAATGTGATTGTATAAGAAAAAACTTACTTTTATGAACCCCTATATTATCCGAGTCATTTTTAATAAATTTTGTTTAATAGTACAAAATGAAAATTCTGAAAAACCCGTTTTTATTCGGATCTTTCTTTAAAAAGGTCCAAAAACGACTAAGAACTTTTTTAATTTTCAAAATATTCACATTTGACTTTTTTAACATTCAAATATGATTCCTTGCAAAATTATGAAAAAAAGTTTTTTAAATTTTTTCTGCGCAGTATGAAATAACTATTTTAAATGCTCATATCAAGCACAATAAAAATTTTCAAATTATAAAATTAAATTTTGCTATTAAAAGCCCTCTAAAAGTTTTGTTTATTTTATTGAATATATTTAAAGTTATAGCAAAAGAAAAATGCCTATAGTTCAAAACATACTAAAGCTAGGCTTACAAAGTTGTATGCAATTATTGCATAACCAAAGTAATCGTTACAAGTTTATTGCTATATTTTCTGAAATAGGGTCATCAAAAACACTTTTTTTTTTGTAAATTACTGTAGCTTCTGAAACATCTGAAAGATTTAAACTTTATTGATGAGCACAAGAAATCACATGACTTCTAACGTAATAAAATATAAGTATTTCCTAAAAAATTTTAAATAATTTCAAAAACAAAGTGTTTCTTCAATTATTGTAGGATAATATCACACAATATCAGGTAAATATCACATCTAAAATAAAAAGAAGTAAATAATCTTTATGATGTAAAATATGTTTTCAGACTAGACACATAAGCTTCATGAATCTTGAAAATGAATTCCGTATTCCCCTGTAAAAGATCATAAGTAAAAATTACTAATTTAAAGAATTAGAAATTTAAAATAAAAATTAATAATAAGAATTAAAATATTTATTAATTAGAATTATATAGATAATAAATAATTAGAATTAGTATAATTTAAAAATTGATAATAAGAATTAAAAATTATAAATAAAAATTATTAATTTGAAATGGATTAAGCAAAAATACTAAATTTTACACTTCCTTTGTGCTGAACAAGTTGATAATTTAGTTTAGTATTCCGTATTTTATGGACTCTCTACTCATATTTTGAGGATAAAATAAAAAAAAAAGAAGATTATTCAAAAATAAAATTTTTTATCAGGATACATAAATTAAAATGTCATCTTTAATTACTTAGCATCATAGGTGCCACTCTTTACAAAAATCATGAAACTAAATTAATATCTCTTTTCCATTTGTTCTTTAAATTAAAATGTTCTTTTTTCCTTGAAAATGTTAATTTTATACAAATATTTTCTAGTTAATTTTATAAAAATATTACATTTTAATGAAAATGTTTCTATTTTTCATAATTATTGCAAACTGATCTAGTAATGATGTCTCACCGCACGAAAAGAATGGGATTGATTGAACTTCTGCACCTGCTTGCTTAAACGAAATTTATTGTATCTAAATTTGTTTGAGCTCTCATTTTCCCCTAACATTTTGAAATGTTTACCAAAGTTCAGATAATTTTTTTTTTTTTAAATTACAGAGATGATGGGACAAGAAATAAATAATGATGAAGCAAAAAAAAAAAAAAAAAAGACTTCTAAATAGCTTTATGAAAAAATGAATGGTTTATTATTATTTATCTTGTTTGCTGTGAAAAAATAAATTAACAAAATGACAAAAAAAAAATCAAATCATTGATTTATTATAAGAGCCATTATTATGGAATGATACATTTTGAAATCAGAGAGCTACAAGTTTCTGAAAATTTTGGTAAACAATGCTAGATTGTGTTAACTGGTACCCATGCTTAGCATGTATGATGTCTATTCCTCAAAGTAGTAAAATTGCATGCTATATACACAAATAATTCAATTTTTTTTTGCGCACTGAACAAAGAAATATATATTTGTAAAATAGACATATTTTATAGAGACATGAATTTCTGTAATCCACAACCTTAAGTGTATTTTTAGAACAGGTATTCAAAATAAATATTTAAAGAAAAATTTTAATTTTTTTAAAATAATTTTTGATAAAAATAGAATAATACTTTCGGCATAATTGCTGACATCAGAATTTATGGCAATTATGGAATTTATTATTATTATTACAAAAATTCAGCTTAATCCATTATAAATGTAGTGGAATTAGAATAAATTTAAAAATGTAATGGAATTAGAATAAATTTAAAAATGAAGCGAATGAATGTAAATGTAATAAAAAATTATACATAAAAAACTTACTGTTATTTAAGTTAAATTTCAATCTTATACGAAAATGAATTAATTCATACACAGTAAAGCACTGTAATCAAGTAACAGAAAAGAGTTTCTTTACTTTTTATTCTTTGAGGTGTTTTCACTTCATTGTCATAATTTTTATTTAGAACAATTTTAGAGATGATTTTAAAAAGAAATTTCTTTAATTTAAATTTAATTCTTTAATTACTTAATTGTTTGATTGCTAGAATTAAATGAACCAAATTAATAATAATAGATTTATTTTAAATTCTGAGTGTGCATAAAATAGTGTTTAGAGCACCATATAATCTGTCATAAAGTGACGAAGTCGTGACCAATAACATGATCAAAGCAAAAAAAAACAACATTGCCCACAAGCCGCCTTTACTTTCCCAAACAGGCTGGTACCAATCGATCTGAAGCTGCGTCATATGCTATGTTGCTTTAACTACTTCACTTCAGTACTGTCTTTACGCATGGGCACACGGGCAGTGCCTTGGGGGCCTCAAGCACTCAAGGGACCCTTAAGAATCTTATTTTTTATAAATTGTATTAAAAAAAACTAAGAGTAAACAACATTGCATTATATAATTTTTAAAATAAATATATTCTCGTGTAAAAAGTGTGCATTTTCGTCTACAAAAAGTGATTGATTATAATGCAAACACCAATAGTTTGAACAGTTTATGACTAGGAGTACTTGAAAAGTCAGCCGAAATCTATTTTTCTACGTTAAAATGTAGTTTTTAGGTACTCAACTAATTTCTCTAGATATGCTTGACCACCAGCAACTGCGTTTAGTATTTATAATTAGTTAAATAAAGTAATAATTGAAAGAGTTTAGAATTAAAGAGCAACTATGGGAGAGCAACTTTTTAACTGGTTATGTCTGGTGTGCATAGAAAAATAACTGACTTTTTAATAGTATTTAATTAGCGTCTTGGTTTTGAAAAGTATTTTATTCTTTATTGATTGTATCTTGATTAGTATCTTAATTTTTTTTTAAATATGCATATAGGGGATCTAAATTAAAAGTTCCTATTTTAATTTAGGACCACACATTTAAAAATGCTTTATTTTATGTGCATCAAGTTTTTGGGGGTAATAAAATGAGTTTAAGTTTGTTAAAATTATTGCATATCTTAAAAATGCTTTATGTATGTGAAGTTTTTTTAGTTCGATTTTAAACATTAAGACATGTTATACTGACATGTATATAAGACATGTTATAAGACCTGTACACTTTACTGTGTATGCACCTTGCATGTTAATAAGTATATTTACTTCAATATGTGATTGTATTGCTTCTTTAATACTTGGTAAATGAATATCAAAATTTCCATTCATAACATCTTGCCAATTTGGACATTCTAAAATTAAAAATAACAGTTAATAAAAAATAAAACAATCTCACATTTATTGAAGTATATAATGCAAATATGGAACTTAGCACAAAACCATAATTTATTTATTTTGATTTTTAGCAATCATTTTAATTTTAAAAACGAATATATAAATAATTTTCAGAAAGTACAATTAATTTTTATCACTGCATTTATGTTCATAAGATAAGATTTTAATAATTTAAGTAAAATAGTCTAAACCTGCCATAATGAACTCTGAATATTGTGAGCAAACTGTTGTAGTAGACTAATTTAGAGAATTATTCAAATTACTGTTTAACTAATGTTATTTCATACGCTTATAGTGGACTCTTATTTCCTTTTTACAGTTATTTAAATTACAAATAGTTACAATTTTTTTAATGTACATGATACGTTCCAAGATTTTAAATTTTAATTAAAAATGAAGTTAATACACAGAAATATTTTAAATGTGTCATTTTCTTGAAAAGAGTATTGCAAGTGGTTCCAAAAGGAAACATATATAGGAGAGAGCAAATTCATTGCACAGAAAGATCAACTTTTAATTGCAAGTCTCTTCAAAAATAAAAAAGATCTTCTTTGGCAGCGCAACAGCCCCTTGCAGGTCTTGGCTGCCTCAACAGCTGACAAACGCCAGCGCCTCCTGTCCATGGCAACTCCCTTCCAATTTCTAATCTTTAGGGTGGTCAGGTCATTTTCGATGTCATTGAGCCATCTAATAGGTGTCTACCTCTAGGACGTGGCCCGTTGTGGTTCTTCTCATAGATGGCCCAGTCATCTCAGCCTATTACTATGGATTATTTATGTAATTCGGGGCTGCTTATAGAGTCGGTAGAACTCGAAGTTACATCTGGTTCGCCAGCGTTCCCTTTCTTGAATGCTCCCAAAAATGACTCTGAGGATCTTTCTTTCAAAGGTGTCCAGTGACCGCTGTATATCTGAATTTAGGGACCAAGTTTCGCTTCCATAAATACAGAAAGTATGAGTGTTTTATACAGTTTAAGCTATGCTTTAACGGCTGAGAAGGTTCGATCTTAATTAATCCAAAACTGAAGGAAAAAAAATTCAATATGGGGAAACAATCACTTTGATATATGAAGAGAATTTTGAATGTTTGTTAACATTCCGTTAAAACAATTCCTATAAGTAGTAGACAGACTCTATGTGTTAGATTAGTCAATAATTTATCAAGCAAATTTTGTGGGTATTGCAATCACTGTCTTCAACAATATACTAAAACACAGTGAAAATTGTTTATAGTGGACTTAAGGCAGGGTCAGTAAACTAAAGACTCTCATAACTATCCAAATAAAGAAAGAATTAATTGCAAGCTAAATAACATAAAAGAGCACACATATAATGATAATATCTTTCATTAAGAGGCAAAGACCAACAGAATTATCCTTAAAATAGAGAGTGTTTCTTTAAAAGAGGTACTACTTTTATTTTAATTTGGAAATAAAACTGCAAAATAAATTACCTAATAATGGTGATTGTGAAGTTTCTTCGTTTACTTCAGAAAGATAGATGTCCTTCAGAAGAAAGAATTATATTACTTTAAAAGATAAAAATTTGGTATGTATCAACTATTCTAAAACTATAATAAAAGCCATGCATAATGAATATTTTTTAAATAATGTAGCTGCTCAGTTACATCCATATGAAGAATTAAAAAAAATTTTTTTTTAACCCTTTATAAGGCAGTGGGAAGTATACTTCCCACCCACCAACTTTATTAATTTTCAAATGTTGAAGGTTAGCCAATTTTCACTAATGATATGTGCTGCCATATGCTGATAGCTTCAGAAAATAGGAAAAAATTAACTATGATTGTTTACATAGATGTAAGGTAACAATAAAAGTTGACATGGAGCAGTTATCATTGGGAAGCTATTTCCACTTGACTCCATTTCAGTACTGTCCTTACATATAGGCACACCTGGGCGTGCTGGGAGCACACCCGGTGACCCCAAGCAATCAGGGGTCCTTGAGAATCTTACTTTTTATATGTTGTATTGTATTAAAAAAAACTAAGAATAAGCAACATTGCATTTTATAATGTTTTCTATAAATAATGATTGATTATAATGCAAACACCAATAGTTTGAACAGTTTATCACCATGAATACTTAAAAAGTCAGCCGAAATCTATTTTTCTACATTAAAATGTAGTTTTTAGGTACTCAACTAATTTCTCTAGATATGCTTGGCCACCAGCAACTGCGTTTAGTATTTAAAATTAGTTAAATAAAGTAATAATTGAAAGAGTTTAAAATTACATATGGGACAGCAACTTTTAAACTGCTTACGTCTGATGTGCATTGAAAGATGTTTTAATAACTGACTTTAATAGTGTGACGACATAATTCATACCTTTTAAATTTTTCTTATTTGTTATACCCTTAAGTTTTCTTAATTTAATATTTATAATTAACTCATTAGTTTTGAAAATCATTTTATTATTTGAGGATTGCAATTGGTTAGCATCTAATTTTTTTTTATTAAAAAAATTATGCATAGTTTAAAAATGCACTATTGTATGGACTTAGAGTTTTTGGGGGAATAAAAAGTTTGTTCAAATTATTGCATATCTTAAAAATGCTTTATTCTATGCATGTGAAGTTTCTTAGATCGCATTTAAACCCCTGTAGCAGAATTTTTTCGAGCTATCTGCAACTAAATTCTCTAGGTCTAATATCTTTCGGCAAGATACTTTTAATATTAACAAAAATTTGGTTTACTAATTTAAAGTAACAAAAGTGCTGCTTTACGAAAAAAAATATATAATTTTTTTTTTAATTGCACATATAATAACTTTTTATTCTAATATTATGGGTGATATTCTCGCATTTTGATGAGGGTGGTGGGAATGCACAAATTATTTCCTTTTTCTCATTTTGTTAATAATCATCACAATAAAAAAAATTAAAAATCACGACATCGGTAGTAGTGATTGCCGAAAAAAACATGGATGAGGAAATCACGCGAATCGGACTCCTCAAATGCGTGTTTCATTTCGAGATTAGGTTGTTGCAATAAATAACGTATAAAAAAATTATAGGATGCTTTAAAAAACTATGGACAAATCAATAGCAATAACTGCCAAAAATTCGATAGAATTATTGTCTTAAAAAGTAAATACTTAAATGCATCCATATTGTTTGAAATATATCGGGATATTTATAATCCACGTGAAAATCACTATCAATAACTGCCGAAAATACAATCGAAACATTAAATCCGTTTACGATACTATCGGCGTAAATTGAGCAAGTCACAAAGTGATTATCTAAATGCATGATTCAAATATTACAAGTTAATTTCTGTAGTAAAGAAAAGCAATTTTTTTTCATTACTTTTCAAAAGAAAAATCTTTCTGCAAGAACTCTGTAACGTTGTCACAATATCGCTGCGATTTTGCCAAGTGGATTTAAACGGTATAATATGCTATGGGGGCCTAAAACATTTCTGTGCGTGGGGGCCCTGATTTTAAAATGGCCCTGGTCCATTTGAATACTTCTCCTCGAGTTCATTTGTAGTTTTAAACACACAATTTATAAATTCAGTTATTTATAGGTTCAAAATCTCATATCATAGTTTCTTTACAGTAGGTAAAATTTTGAAAACCCTACCCACTTTTCCACCGAAAAATAGTTTTGAAAATCAAATTAATTTTAGTTAATAATCTAAATGATTTTTTTTTTAACAAATCAATCTCATTCCCAATAACAGAGCATTGCTAAAATAAATAACCTAAGAAAGGATTAAAAATTATTCAAATTTGAAAATAAAAATAAAAACTTTTTCTGTTAAAAAACACTTTAAAAAAATTAAATCAACTATAGTTTTTAACTTAAAAAAAAATCATTTTTAAAAACAAGCTATATATAATAAAATAATAATGTATTATTAACTATTTAAAATCATTAATTCAGCTACAGTTTCAGTTAATTAACTTAATTATTACATAATTAAAAAAATAAATCTTTATTTTGAAATTGATATAAGATATCAAATTTTTAAAAAATGGAAGAAATCCAATTTAAAGAGAAAAAAAAACGAATAGTTCAGTTAATTTACTTAATGATTATATAACTAAAAAAATAAATATTTATTTTAAAATTGATATAAGATACCAAATTTAAAAAAAAAAATCAACAAAAAATTTGTGATCGTCTTATTACGATCCATTGGTTAAATGCTTTTTCTTTCTGGATTGACTCCGTTAAACGCCACAACATTTCAAACCATCATGGATTGCAAAAACTGTCTCCATTGATGTGTGTCGTCTGATTGGTTTTCAAATCCTGCCTTATGCACGTGTTTCAAGACGTCACAAAATACTTTTCCTTCTTCAGCATTTATTTTAAAATCACCGTCAAGCCAGTCATTATACGTTAGTTAGTTAAAAGAACATAAAAATACTTTAAATTATTATTATGTAAATACATTAAAAATGCCTGCTGGTGAAAATAAAAAGAAAAACAGCAGCGGTCGCCATAGCAACGCATGCGCACTGTTTACTCTTGAACACAGTAGAAAAGTGTGTGGACGCCATCAAATCCAAAACAAGACCCATTTTGCCAATGGGTAAAACTTGAAAAAAATCCAATTTAAAGGAGGGGAAAAAAACTAATATCTAATATCAAACAAATCAGATTTTTTTTTTTTATTTCTTAAATAAAGAAAAATCACAAACCTTAGTTTGTTGTACAATGATATTCTAATTTATTTTACCGTATAGTTGTAGTAAATTGACAAATACCTTTTGAGCAGGTAACATATCACAAGTATCCTCACTTGAAGACTTTAAACTTTCTTCCCTCATTTTGAGAAAAGAGTCTGAAGGAACACATTTGGATCCAGAAGATCTTTGGCTCTCCATTTCAAGTGATGACTTTTCAAAAATAATTCTTTTTTCACTTGTATTCAAGTTATTGAGGGAAGAGATTCCAGGAGACTTTTCCTTGTTCTGGAAAAATATACATCAAGAAACAATTTTCAGCAACCATTCAAGTACAATCGAATCCTACTATAATTGTTTCAAGTGCAATTCGATTCGATTGTATTCAAGTACAATCGAATCGAGCCTCTAGTTTATGTGAACAAAATTCATTTTACAGAGAGCTATTATTCTGTATTTAATTTTTTTTACCATCTTTATAAGAGATAAAATTTAAATAGACTTAATTCTAAGTTGAAAATTCTTGAAATTCATTTAAAAAAAAATAAAAAATTATACACAGGGTGTCCCAAAATTCGATTCACAAATTCTGAGAAAGTGATATGAGGAATCCATTAGAATGAAACTTATCGCAAAACATGGAGTTAAAGCAAACCACATTGAACATTGAAAAGAGGAAAATCAGGAAAAACTCATGACTTTCTAGGTCATGGTGGGGGATAACAACTACAAAGGATACTACAAACTTGCTTACTACAAAGGGATTTATTTCATTAATTATTACAAAAGTTGTTTGAAATGTCACCCAGCTAACATCTGTGGGGATGTAGCTATCGACAATGTCAACCTTAATCTATGAAAAGGATTATGGATAATGTAGCAAGTCAGCTGTTCAATGTGGACAATCCATCTAAGTAGGCGTGTTCACATCACGTCCGGGTCACCACTGTGGTGGTTGGTTAGTGTTCAGGGGAGACTAATCATTAGAGTTTACATTATTTTAGTATTTATTAACATCGAAAATATTAAAGTATAAAGAAGAGGAATATAAATCAGCACAGCGCATCATACTACAGAGACAGCTTAGATTGTTCTGGCGAATGAAAAGTTAGAGTTCAAGTTCTTGATCGTAACTGTCGCGGTTACGATTAAGTTGAGTTGCCGCACATCATTGTACTGATGGCAACAGCATACAACAATTCCTTGAGAGGTTTGAAGATGCCTGATAATGTTTACTAAAGCGACAAGAACGCACGCCTCAGTTTCAGTTGTGTTAACTGAAAACCAGCATTATTTTACTCCACCCTTTTAATACTGTTTTCAATCCCATGTTCAATAATAAATTTTCATCCTTATGATTATTTTCATCACTCTCTCCGAATTTAAATTGTGCTTTCTTTTTAGAGAAGGTGGAAATATGAAGGTTGGGATATGGCCTTAGAATGTCAAGAGAAAAATCAATGCGTGTTTTTTTTTCCACCTGGGCTCCTGATGACAGAAGGAAAAGGGGGAAGACTAGGAATGATCTGACAGAGATAAATGCAGACGGATTTCAAGAGAAAAAAATTCAAGGGCGAAGTCAAAGACAGGGGAACAGGCTGATTGTCTTATGTCTTAAACCGCGAGAAGAGCCTAATTAATCTATGAATCTTTTTTTAGATATATAAAATCTTAACCACACATTTAGCTAGGATAGAGAAGAGTTATCATCAATGTAAACTTTCATCTATCTAAAGATACTTCAAGATCGAGTTAACACGTCTTACATACCAGATTACTGTAGTAGTTACACTACATTTTATCTAGGATAGAATTTGACGAATGGATATCACTAGTTGATTCATTGCCATTTTGCGAAAGACCGTGAGAGCTGTATTAAGATCACCAGATCTTAAGCGCTGGTCGTGAGAGCTGTATTAAGTTCACGGTTGTGAACGCGGTCTCTCCTGTGTTGCTATTAGCAGTCGAGTGTGTACAATCTCCAGGGTTTGTGATCGAGACTGCAGTGTAAGGAGAACAATGTGGCATTCACAAATAACAAGTCTACTGTTCGATATGAACCACCCATCTAAGTACCATTTAAATCGAAATGGGCATTACTGTCAAGATAGGAGTGTATATATCACTTCCGTAGGTCACCAATGAGGGGAGAGGAGTTATCAAAAATGTCAACCTTTATCTATATAAAAGTACCTGAAGATAGAATGGACTAGACTAGACTAGATATGTTGTAATTCAAAGTGCCTGCCCGCGAAGCGGGCATCTGACTTTTTCGTCTCATATACTAGTGAATTGGAATAGATTATTGTAGTGGTAGTTACACTACAACAGAATCTTTAAGAATAAATCTTACTAAGTATTCCTCATGGGCTTCACACAAAAGAGTGAGGATGTCCTGAGTCTCACTTTCAGATGCACGCCGTTGCCGTTTTGGGGGTGGATGATGCTTCAGAATGATTCTTAAAAAAAAAAAAAAAAAAACATTTATTAGATTGTTTTTGAATGCATAAAATAAATAATATCTTGTGATAACAAACACTCACGGAAATGAAACAATAACTCACTCATTTTCACTTGTGTTGTTTTCTCAAAATAATGATTTTTTTACCTCATAAAATTTTTACTTGATTAGCTTGAACATTTCTTTAGGATGTTAAATGTGTGCAAAATAAAAAACGAACATCCGAGTAATTTTTGATCTAATAACATACAAAAACTGTAGAATTTTTACTGGAAAACAGGATTGGAAAAAAGGAAAAAAAGTTGATTAAAAACTTCATTGGCTTAAAAAAACTATGAAGAGGGTAATAAAATTTGAAAGCGCTAGGCACCCATTTTCAAGACTTGCTCGAGTTCAAATCTTGAAAATGAACACCTAATTTGGAGCTCTTGAAACATTTGGACTTTTATTACTCTCTTTATAATTTAATTTCAAGCCAATTAAGTTTTTAATCAATCCATCCCCGTCATTTCGTTGGGACTATTTATTTATTAATTAAAAAAAACTTACGTTTGTATTCTTTTTGAAATTCTTTGAAGATCATTGTGCTCATAAAACCAAGAACCGATTATATCCCCTATAAATATACATCAGAAAATAACATAGTTAGAGAAATGTTATTATTAGGGCACTTTTGAAAGTAAGTTCCCGTAGCTGATAAAAAGGAATCAAAACATAATTTCTGTAAATATTTATTGCAAAGATATGGCAACTGTTTCACCATTTCTTAAAAATAAAAACCGTCAGAACTGTAATAGCTTTTATACACTATCCGGCCAAAAGTATCCGGACATCCGGTTATTATGGTGGTTTTACCTGCAGTATAATGGTGTGGGGGTGTTTCTCGTGGTTTAGCCAGATAATCCAGCACAGGCATAGAAATTAAGAAAGTTTTGTCACTGGACCGAAGGATATTACTAATCTGTTCATATTTCCCATTCTCTTTAAAAAAAAAAAAAATAAATAAAGTAACCTTAAATAAAAAAAAATAATCCCATACAATCGCTACGCTATAACGAAACTTCGCTTTACCGATATTACGAATTTCAACATTAACCAAAATTATTTTGCTACATTGGAATTTTTCGCATAAAAAATAATAAATATAGCATTTAATTACAGTTTTGATCTATTTGTACTCTACATGTTGAAAATACCAAGTTTTAAAGTCTCACAAAACCAACTAAATTAAAGGAAACAATGTACAAGTACATATTATCACTTACTTATCAGAAATTAAGTAATCCGTATTTTTTTTTCTGTACAAATGATTTAGAACCAATAGAAATTACAAACTTCTCCAAATGATGCACATTTTCAAACAACTGAACACTCTTTTGGAAAGCCACGTGTATTTTTAATTCTTCAAACGTGAATGGGTTGGGTGGGTTTTATTTGGTCCCAAATAAAAGAACAGACATGAACATATAACACATTTGGTGAGTACATTATAAAAAGGACAATGCCTTTGTAAAAAAAAAATATATATATTATTTCCTTTTGTGCTTTTAAGTTACTAAAAAATTCACTAAACTAGATTCGAATCTAGGACTATGAATTCAACTGTAAAATCTACTTTAGGATCATTAACGATGCATAAAATGGCATTCCTTTTATTAATTAATTTTTAAAAAAATGCAATCTCCTATTGGTTTATAAGTTCACAACTATTTTCATACACTTTATTTATAAATCCAGGGTTCCGTTGCTAAAGAACCCCTAATTTAGATGATTGGAAAAGGGTCGAAATTCTGATTTCAATATACACGATAACATGAAAACGAGTACATAATTTAATAATAACAATAATTAACCGAAGCCAAGCACAGTGGCGTAGTTTTAATGCATGTATTGTATGTACAAAATTCAATTTAAAGTTTCAAAAAAGATTTTACAAAATGGTAGTAAATGAACAATTAAAGTTGGAAAGATTTTGTAATAATTAAACTAAATAAACATTGAAGAGCTAAGTAAAATAACAAATAATCATACTTACATATTTTGTAATTATTGACATGTCGTGGTAGGTTGTAATTTAAATTTTGTTTTAAACTTTAAATTGAAGATTTAATACGTCTAACTCCTATAATAATGCTACTACTAAGAAGTTTTTTTTTCTCAACGCCAGTGCAAGTTTACAGCTATCTCTCTCACTCTCTCTCTGTGTGTGTGTGTGTCTNCTAAGTAAAATAACAAATAATCATACTTACATATTTTGTAATTATTGACATGTCGTGGTAGGTTGTAATTTAAATTTTGTTTTTAACTTTAAATTGAAGATTTAATATGTCTAACTCCTATAATAATGCTACTACTAAGAAGTTTTTTTTTTCTCAACGGCAGTGCAAGTTTGCAGCTATATATATAAACGAAATTACGAAATAATGAAAAAATTTTATGTCTACATCTTACTTACCAAACTGAATAGTTCATTAATCAAGTAATGTATAATTTCGGGGGGGGGGAGGTTGTTCCCCAAAACTACGCCACTGGCCACGCAAAAGGTGGAGATAAAATGAACTAACCTGAACGGTTTTTATACAAGAGATAAGGTGATTGTAATTGAAACTGCATCTCACTTGTGATGGATTCAATGAAATTGGTTGTGCTCATACGATTCATGATGATGAAGCCATAGGAAGGATAACGAGACCTAGAAAAGGTGAGGATGAACAATAAAAACGTTTGTCTGTCCATCTCTGGTGGTTTCGCATTGATGGACCAGCATGATCTACATGGTAACCATCCATAATTCCATCATGAACCATTAAATGTTTTTGATAATAACCAACATAAGTAACCATCACGCCATTGTAGGAATTCGGACTGATTTACGATGGTCCAACATAAGAATAGCAACTTGTTTTGATGGTTTGTTCCTGTTGAGCCAACAGAAATTTCCATCATAGTTTTTTAGAAATCAAATCTTGGAACGACTATGAACCACCATCACCCCAATGTAGGAATTCGGACAGATTCATAATGATCAAACATAAAAAAAAACTGTTTTGATGGTATATTCCTGCTGAACCCAACAACAATTCCCAATAAACCACCATGAAATTGTATAGTTGGAACCATCATGAACCATCACTTATCACCATGAGAATCAAACCTCTCTGGATGGTTAACCATCGTAGTACAAAAGTAGCATTTTCCATCATGGAATGATGGATGTTTCTTGGCATATCAAAAACCACGAACGCATAATGGAAAATGTTGGATGATGGTGATCATCAAATGACGTTGGACCATCATGAATCGCACTGAAACCAACATAAAGGCCTGGTTTCTTAGGACAGGACACCGTCAGCTGGAAATCAGCGCTAACCTCTGATTGGTTCATTTGTGAGTTTGATAGTATACGTCATCGAGTTCAAGATGAGCGTTCGATGACGTACACTATCAAACTCACAAATGGACCAATCAGAGGTTAGCGCTGATTTCCAGATGACGGCGTCCTGTCCTAAAAAACCAGGCCTTTAGCCATTAAAATGTTTAGATGGGGCCATTAAGAATATTGACTTGGGTTATAACTCCAGATTCATTTGTGCTAGCATCCTGAAATTTGAACAGTGGATGAAAATGGCAATTTTAGTCTCCAATCCTAAAAATCATTTAAAAATTTCAATTCGGTACTTGCAGCTAATTACATGATTGGGTCTAATCACGTGGTTGAATATAGCGTTTAAATGTTACAGCCTTAATGCTCGGGTTTATTATCACGCTGAATCAATTTTCGGATCAGATTTAATTGAATACTTGCTAGTGACGTCACGCGCGTGTTGAACATCTTTGGTTGACCAATGCGTGACGTCACTTGCAGATATCCAATGAAACACTTGAAAAGTGGAATTTTTTCATTGGTTTAAAACTAGCCACTGATAAAAATTAGACTGCAGACGATTCTGTTTTTTTATTATGTGTTTTAAAGATAACAGTGATGTTTTCTCGCTTATAACTCTCATTAAAAAAAAAGTAATTTACTGTACATTAATATTTTCAACATTTAATTACTTTTTATTCATTATGTTTAATATACTCAATAATTTAAGTAAACGTATTACCATAGGCGAACTATGTCAACAAATTAGCATTCCTAAAGTTATCTGAAACCACGGGTTTATTTTGTTTATAGTTTAAAAAGGTGCTCCTATAAAACTAAATAATTAAAATAGATTGTAATAAATTGTAATTGAATTTTTAAAAAAATAAGCAGTGTACTGTTAATTAAAATTAATGGAGAAATAGTATTAATTTGTTCAGAAGAAATATAAAAAAAAATCGCCGGACGATTATTGACACTAATAATGATTAACACTAGAAAGATGGAAACTTAGTATATACCGATATTGCCCAAAAGCAGTCAAAATGACTGGATTGTAAATGCATAAATAAATTAGTTTAAAATTAATTTTTAACATTTTTTATATTATTTACAGTTATATAGCAAGTTATTAGTAAACAATAAAAAAATTATAAGTTGTACAAAAAGTCACAAAATTCTAAGAAATTGTGTCATTATATAAATCATTGTTTTTCTAATTGAAATTAAAAGCAGTCAAAATAACTTTCTTATCTAGTGTTAATTAATTTCGACAATAATTATTGTTTATCATCATTGATATTACAATAATATTGATAAAATGATGATAAACTAATTTTAACAATAGGCACTAATTTTATTTTATAACTGAACAGCCGACCCAATTTTCGGTATACGACAACGAATTTTCAACCCCGTAGCCTTGTCATTCTGAATCCAATCCAGAAGACAAGGGATCTCCTGGATCAAGTGTTGGAAGAAATTTGCCTTCGTGGAGGACCTTTTTAATGAAACTAAGCCAAATTGACCACTAAAACCATACACTACGTGTGGTCAACTTACGCATGTTTAACTACACTTAGATTTAAAATTATGTAAATAAAAATTCATCCTTTCCTCAGAAATTCAAAACATTTTTGACCTTGAAATTTAAAAATTGGGTTTAATAGAAATAAAGACATAGGAATAAAATGAAATAAAAATAAAACTTCCCGATCAATAGGTTGACCAACTGTCGACGTTGAATTTCACCACCAAAACCATGCACAGCATGTGGTCAACTTACGCAGGTTTCACTGCACTTAAAGATTTAAAATTGTGTAAATAAAAAAAAATTCATCTTTTTCTCAGAAATTAAAAAAAAAATTTGACCACGAAATTAAAAAGTTCTCTAGCTTTTTTCAAAATGTCCCTGCCTTTTGCAGAAGTGTGAAAAGTGTTCTCCACGCTATCACAAATACTTTTTTTCCCCTTCCTTTGTTTACTTCACTGTTGAAGAGGTTTTTGAGGGAGAAACAGCTCAAAATAACGCAGAAAAACAAACAAATAAAACACAAGGTTAGCAACAGAGGACGTCTCTCTTAATAGGACTACTCATTCATAAAGAGTGTAATAAAACAGTAGCAAAGGATGCAGATGAAACAAAAGATGCTTCCGGGGTAAGTAAACTTTTTTAACTAATAGTATTAGTTATTTCAATTTCGGTCACACACATTACACGACAGTCGACACAAACTATTTTTGAGAAATAATCTCAATGGTTTTCATTTAAAGATAAATGTTTGAAAATTGTAAAGAAACCTTTTACTCTTAACACTAAACATACCATAACCGGTCAGATGACCGTTTAAGAACTCTTGCATCTGTAAATGCTCTGGTCATCTTATCGTTTTTGCGCATTTGACTTCATGACTTTTTCTAACAATTAAATACAGATAACATTCTATTATTATTTTCTTTTTTAATATTTTGTTTGTTTCGAACAATACTTGTCGTATACCTATTTCCACCACAACCGGTCATTTGACGGAGAGAACAATTTATTGCATTATAAGGTTATCGGATCAGAAATGACGATGTTCAACGTATTGCATTCGATTAATTGCACATTTCTGCAAAGACTGTTGCGTTGTTAGTTCAATGAGAATAACTGCGAATTCAAATTTCAAGAAAGTACCTAGCATTTCAGATTGACATTTTGTGTCAGAAAAAGTGACAAAAACTAAATGTTTTGGTAAGTAGCTTATATTTTATTTGGATAACTTTACTACTTCATTTCTAACTAACTGTTAGTTTTTACCCAGAAAAATGTCGAAACAGTCAAGACAGCACAAGTTCTTTGAAGAAATAATATTAATTAGATGAATAATTTTATGAATTATAATTCTTATATATTCTTACAATTATAAGAATAATTATAACGGATTATAGAAACAATAATAATTAGAAGAAATATGTTTGCGGAAATGTACAACGGAAACATCCTGTATATGAAAAAAATGCGTAATATACAATTTTGTTCAATTATAATAAAGTTTTTTAGTTTATTTCCTTCCTAACATCCATATTTTATACATTCAATCAAGAAGCAAAAAGTCCGGACATTTGACTGGTTATGGTGGTAGAAATAGGTATAGATTAAGTTCTGGTATGTTTAGTGTTAAAGACAAAAGTTTTAAAATTGCAAAGTAACCTTTTACTTTTAATTAATACCAGGACAAAAAACTATTAATTTAAGTGCTGTATAATTTTCTTCAAACTTAGGACACGACATTAGTTCGAATTAGGTGATACAAACTATTTTTGTAAAATAATCTAAATGTCTTTTTCTATTCAAAGACAAAAGTGTAAACAATGAAAATTACAAAATGAACTGTAAAATCATCTGTTTACATAATTAGCTGATCAGAAATCTTTTCTGTTGATTCAATTCCTACAACAAGTTCACACTCCCCCTAAGCTTGTTCAAATTTTCGATAATTAATAAAATATTTTTTATTCATCTACTTAAGTTCAACTGTAACCGTAACGGATGACACTTGATGTTAATGAAGTTTTTTTTCTCCAAATATTAATTCATTAATTGAACAGGGATGAACGAAAAATGAAATGGAATTTTTTGATTGGTTAAGCTTTAGTTATTGTTTTAAATTTTACTAGAAGCGATTTAGTTCACATATTTTAAAAATAACATGAGTGATAATTTCTAACTTATAGCTCTATATGAACATAAAAAAAAGTTTACTGCGCACATTTAGGTATTTAATTATTTTATATTCCATGTCACCAGATTTATACTTTTACAGTTGTTTGATACCACGCGCCTTTCTTCTTTTTCTTCAATTCCTACTATTAGTTTCACACTCTCTCTCTATATGAGCAATTCTACAAGTAAACGCCAATTAGGCGGCCAAAAAAAAAATTTAAAAAATTTTGGGGGGCACACTATTTCTACATGAATTTTCTTCTTTTTTACACCCTANTAATTCATTAATTGAACAGGGATGAACGAAAAATGAAATGGAATTTTTTGATTGGTTAAGCTTTAGTTATTGTTTTAAATTTTACTAGAAGCGATTCAGTTATCACATATTTTAAAAATAACATGAGTGATCATTTCTAACTTATAGCTCCATTTGAACAAAAAAAAAAAGTTTACTGCGCACATTTAGGTATTTAATTATTTTATATTCCACGTCACCAGATTTATACTTTTATACTTGTTTGATACCACGCGCCTTTCTTCTTTTTCTTCAATTCCTACTATTAGTTTCAATCTCTCTCTATATATATATTTATATATACTGTTCAAATTTTCAATTGTTAAT